TATATCTATATAACTATATATATATACGAAGAAACCAATAAATGTGTGTGTATATGATATTGAGCTTAGAGTATCTAACACACATAATATAAAATCTAAACTAGATTACCCAAGCTTGATCTTGATCTTCAATAAGCTCGACTTGGTGATCTTGCGGATGAAGCTTGAACTTGGATTTTGAACTTTGAATAGCATTGCTTCACTCCACATTTCCGCCAACCTCCATTTGATATGATAGTTGAAGCTCTATTTCATCCATCCTCCAACTCGTTGTTTGCCTAGAATAAATACAAAAACACAAATACTAGACAAATAACATTAGAAGTAAATTGTTTGTTAAACATCATCAAAACAAGAAGGCCAACACTTCTTACACAATTAAAAATAAAAGATTACAACTTTATCAAACAACACACAGATCCTATTTATTAGTTTCTGTTTGCGTGAGATCTTTACATATGCCGGGGTTTATCCGTGGACCGTCGCGGATCAGATCCGATTAACAGAAAAGTTAATCAGAGCTCTTACTTCATAAAGAAAGTAATCGATGAAGTGATAATCTCGACCAAGAGAGATTATGACTCTTCTCGAGATCAAAATCAAGTTTGATCCAGAGGAAAGGGGGAACTAGTCTCAGATCCTTTGAATAGCTTCCTCTTTATGCTGAAGTTCGTCAAGATCTGCTACCCCTCCTCTAAAAAAAATTCGTGCTCCACCCGCCCTAGCTCCTCTAAAATCCATGGCTCCCTTCAGATCTACCTTTATGAGGATGCTAGGGGTGTATTTATAGGCTTTAAATGTCGTGTTTGTGGATAGGAATGTTGTGTTTGTGTATAGGGTCGAAGAACAACCGTTATTATCCGTTTAGGTGGGTTTTCGGTTGTGTAATAGCTTCCACACGTTTAAGGATAACCCCACATGTTTATGGATGACCCCAAGGAGTTCTAGAATCCAATCTTATCAGAAAACACGCCGGGAGCTGACATGGGCGCGAGTCACTTCGACTGTCTCGCGCATGTCCAAGACAGCTTGGACTATCTCGGGTATTTTGGTCTTAACTCTTTCATCAGACCTTAGAATAAGATGATTAAAGATGCGTTGGAAAGATGACAAAGAGACCTAAAACTTTTATCTTTTGAGATTCTTCATATTCTAATCCTATCATGGCTAAAATGTGCGAGACAAATTATTATCTCGCAGGTGCGAAACAGTCTGGACTGTCTCGAGTGTTTTGGCTCTAACTCTCTCGTCTGACCTTGGAATGAAGTGATTCAAAGTGCGTCAGAAAGACGGAGATGAGATCTACAACCTCCCATAAGTGAATCATATATGGAGTGAATAATATACGAGTGGTACTTCGTCTTTTGTGAGTGAAATGTAATTCCCGATCGAATCGTTTCTTCGTCATTCTGTCGTCCCGTTTGTTCGTACGATTCATCGACTCGCTTCATTCGCTTGTCGACGTCAGATAATCCTCCTTGACTCGGATAATGATATTTATCATCTTTTCTCCATCTCGAGCTGCGTGCGGAAACCAATTGGTAATTTTTGACGCCTACAGATACCAATATGCATGTGACTATATAAGCGAATATGTATATGGGTGCAAAATGGATGTGAGAAAACTCGCTAATATTGAAAAAAAAACATAATTCATATGATACCAAAGAGTTTCATTAATCCTCCTTTACATAATAAAGTGAAATTGGTGAAAGGCACCAAAAAGCATTATGGCTACTAGCACGGGTTAAATTCTCAAAAAAAAATGTCATTCCTATTAGAAGATAACATGTGTATAACTAATCCTATTTTTCTAAGATTCCTTATTAAATTAAAACTATTCATATTCATAATTAAAAAATTAACATTCAAATCTTTGTTAACTCTAATTAAATTATAGCTATCCAAAACTGAAAAATCTACAAAATTATCATGTGCCCCTCATTAATTTTTATAAAGGCTAAATTTTATTAAACCACTAATACCTTCGGCATATAACACTAACCTCCCAAAATATTTACAACTCTCGCTAAACCTTTAGTAGTTTGAGAATTTCAAAAAGCCCCAAACTAATTTTATTTTTTGCACTTAACCTCCATAATGAAGTTATCCTAGAATTTATATTAACGAAAACTATTTTAGCACTTAACCGCTATAATGAAGTTATCTTAGAATTTTATATTGATGAAAACTAACTCTCAATGCAAGTATATACCTTTTAAATCATTCTCATTTGCATGTTAAGTTATAAAATTACAAACAACCCTAAAGAGTGTGAAAATTGCAAACAATTTCCTCAAAAATCTAAAATTACCAACAACTACATGCAGAAAAATTTGAAAGTTACAAACAACCCTCTATAAATTCCTAAAAATTATAAAACTCCCTAACAAATTAGACTATTACAAACCAGCCCATGAAAAATAAAAAATTACATATAGCCCCCTCAAATTTTGAAATTACAAAAAATCTTGAAAATAAAAAATTACAAAAATGCTCTAAAAGTTCTAAAATTACAAATGATCCCCTAAAATAATTTGTAGATTACAAAAACCTTTTGAAAAATCTAAAAATTAGAAACAATACTCTTTAAAATCTAAAAACTGCAAACAACCCTCTCAAAAAACTAAAAATTCAAAACAAAAGACATGAAAATATGAAAATTATAAAAAAAACTCTACAAAAATAAAAAATGAGACATAACACCCTAAAAGAATTAAAATTGCAAATTGTCCCTTAAAAAGTAATAAAAACATCAAAAAAATACCAAAAAGCCCTAGAGATTTAAAAATTACTAACACCCCCTCCCTCCCAAAAAATTCAAAAATTACTAACAAACCCCTTTATAAACCAAAAAGTACAAACAAATTGAAAATTTCAATGATTACAAACAAACCTCTGAAAAAATCTGAAAATTTTAAATATCCGTTATTTGAGGGTTTTCTCCTACAAAGTAATGGGTGTAAGTGAAAATATAAAAAATATTGGGGTTTCTGCCAAAATTTATTGGGGAATATTTTGGTCATTAGACTACACATGAACTAACAATGTTAATTTTGAGGGTTTTCAGCCAAAAGTTATTGGGGTTTAGTGAGAATTTTAAATATACTGAGAATTTTAACCTCTGAAAAAAATTCGTTTTTTCCCCTCGACTTTAATTTACCCCTCAATAAAGAAAAGCAGATCTACCCGTGCGGGCACTGGCATAATAATTATATGTTGATTATATCTGAAAAGCTAAAATTAGATCTCTTGATCATTAAAATTAATTTTAAATTCATTAATCTAAAGATTAAAACTATTATAACTTTATGACCAACATATATTCAGATATATTATAGAAATAAGTCTGAATATTCCATTACATATCTATATTCGTAACGATATCTATACTCCAACAGATAAAGGCACGGATGTTTCCTCGGATACACATTTTTTTAACCCCTAATTACAGCTGTTGGATTTGGATCGAATAAGATGCCTTGTGGAAACTCAAAACTACATTCTGACTTTTCATGACAAGAAGGCAGGCAGTAGGCGGTCGGCGGTCAGCGGAGCTGGAATAGTCGCGAACGGCGACAGCATCGATTATCAAACACGATTACTAAACACATGTATAAACATAATGCGTGTCTCTGAGTGAGTGAATTCAGTTACCGTCACATAAAAATAGTATGATAAATTCTAATACCAGCTATCAATAATCCCACGAAAAGTACATAAGACTCGATACATAGATATCACACTCCCAAACATAGAAAATCTCATACAACATTCAAAACATGCTACTTCAACAATCACTCGCTGCTCAATATCAAACATCAAACACGTCAAAACCTAATAAACAGAATCACGGGCTCGTCTTGGAAGGCGGCGGCGAGGAGAAGAAAGGGATGCCGGGGATGTTGGGAACCCCCGGAATCTGTGGAAAGCTTAGAACGGTAGGAATTTGAGGAATAGAAGGAATAGGTGGGATCATGGGAATTGTAGGAATGGTAGGGATGGTCGGAATCCCCGGTAAAGGAGGCAATGCGAGCTTCGGAAGCCCCGGCATCGTCGTGCCACGGGGGTGTCCAAGAGATGGCGAGCTCCGTAGGAGGCGTTGACGCTCAAGAGCGTGAAAGTAATCAAGAGGAAGGAGTTGGCGTTGAAGCCCATGTTGGAATTGGGTAATTGTACGTAGTTGCGATGTTGAGGTTGGAATTATATGTGGGTTGGTTTTTATAGGGGGGAGATCAGGGTACTTTAGATGGCAGTTCCGGTGGTTGTTGGTTTGTTCACCTTTCTCATGTGGTAACAGAGGTAAGCGAAGTTTGTATTGACCTTTTTAAGTAATATATATGAGCTGAAGTCTATGTTCAAGGGGGGTTCACCTAAAAACTACGCTCTTTCGCAACGCAATATAATAAACTTAGTGTTAATTAAAAAGCTAACCACATATATATCGACAAAAGAAAGAACCTTATAAGCTAGATGAATCAATCAAAGAAACATAAAGGTTCAACAATGTTCAACATTAATCAATGTGATTGTCTGTTAGTACCATGAGTTATGTTGTGTGGTTAAATATTAACAATTATACACTGAATTAGCTCGAGTTAACCAGAGAAATCAACCACATCTCAATTCCAGATGAAAATGACATCTTTCGCTAATAATTTCCTTGCCACTACCAAATTAATTACAAATACTAAATAATAAGGTATATAATTCAGTGGTAATTTGCAAACAATATATAATTAGTAAATCTAAAACCAACAACATGATAAGCTAAAAAAACTAAAATGTACTCTGCTAATTCTGGAAATTATCATAAACTAACTATCCAATATTGTAATATAATGACGACCATGCTTATAACTCTTAACAAAATTGAAAAACTATGGCAAAATAATAATGTGCCAGCATGGACCAATGGAATCCCCAAAAATCCTATCCAACCCAAATCCCTCGATCTCTCATCTTGGTGCTCAATCCAAAAGCCAACATAAACCATTTCCCTCCACTCATTTACCCTCCCTCAATAACCTAAACAAAAACCCCAGAATATCTCATATTAACAAAAATCAAGATGGCATCAACTGCTTGCTTCCTCCACCACCACGCAGCCTCCACCACCGCGACAAGGACACCCTCGCAGTGTGTTGGGCCGAGCACCAGGCCCACTCAGATCACCTGCAAGGCCCAAAAACAGCCCGAAGATGAGCCCAACAATGCGTTATCACGTCGTCTGGCCCTCGGGGTACTAATTGGTGGTGCAGCACTGAGTAGCAGAGCCTCCCCTGCTGATGCTGCCTATGGAGAAGCTGGTAACTTATATCATGTCTTCTTCATTTTGCGGCATCAGAGCTCCGAAGTTGAATCTAACATGTTCTTGTAGATTGAGCATTTTTTTTTCATGGACCGAGACTTGGACTGTTTTATCCACAGATAATTTTATTCTAAAACTGATTTGAAATGTGCATCTGGTGGGCTTTGAACATGAATTTTTTTGACGTCATATTAAATTCACTGTTGCGCGCAGCGGAAATTTCGGCAGCACTTCGGCAGCACAACAAGAGAGTCAGATCGCAATAAGAATTCCCGTCTCACCAAGGAGACAAGAATCTGAAGCGGATATCTCAACCAAGTGAGATATCGGCTCTTCCTCTCATCAATTCTAGGACTGACCTGTCGAGGGATCCTAAAAAGCTATTACAAATCACACAAAAGCAGTACAACCAATTTTTTTACGTGGTTCGGCAAATTGCCTACGTTCACGGGGCAAGGAGGGGGGAGATCTACTAATAGAGGGAGAGATTACAACTAGGGGTTACAATTACTCTCAAACTAAACCCTCAAACAAACTCTCAAATCCCTCACAAAATAACTCTCTACAAAAGGATGCAACAATCCAACTTTTCACCTCTGCAGCCGCAAACCACACCAGCAAATCAACCTCATGTTCTCTTTGCTGCAGCCGCCTTTGCCAACTGCCTCACGCGCCTCTAGTTGCACAAAAGTTCCCACAGCCGCAAAACTCACATGCCCTCCTTCGCAAAAAAAAACCTAAGGAAAATCACTTCATATTTATACGAAGCTTCATACGGGTTGATTGAAACCGCGTTAACGCGGCTTCGGCTCTGTTCACGCGAAAACAAACCAAATCATTCACGTGAAATCTCTTCACGTGGGAAAGTGGCCCCCACTCTCACAATTCTCCACCTCGGCGAAGTTTTCCTAAAACTGAGCCGACACCGAAGCAACCAAATGTCCCACTTGTTGTGACCAGTACGAAGTAAATCCACAACAAGTTGAGAACTCAAACGAGAGTCCAAACAATCTCACCCCCATCAACTAATCCAAACCGGCTACATCTGAAAGACTACCTACGTATCCTCTTGCCCAAGGAATCAAGTCGAACGTAGTTCACCCAAATGGCCGCCAACGGCCTCAACAATCACGAATATGCAACAAGTTTCGACAATAATCAAACTTGTTGCTCGGAACCACCTTAGTGAGCATATCTGTCGGATTATCCTTCGTGTGGACTTTAACAATCTCCACATCACCATCTTCAAGAACATCCCGAACAAAGTGATAACGAACGTCAATATGCTTCGTTCTCGCATGAAAAACCTGATTCTTCGCCAAATAGATAGCACTCATGCTATAACAATGAATAGTGACGGACCTCTGCGATATACCAAGTTCCTCCAAAAGTCCTCGAAACCAAATAGCCTCCTTCACAGCCTCCGTAATAGCCATATACTCTGCCTCCGTCGTAGACAAAGCCACCGTCGACTGTAAGGTGCATCTCCAACACACCGGCGCACGGGTCAAAGTAAACACATACCCCGTTGTAGACCGGCGCTTATCCAAATCCCCGGCATAATCCGAATCAACATAACCAATGCATAACTGCCCACCTGTAGTGTCCCGCTCATAAACCAAACCAACATTGAGCGTACCTCGAATGTACCTCAAAATCTATTTCACGGCGTCCCAATGACCCACTCCTGGATCGTGCATGTATCTCGATACCATGCTTACCGCCTGTGACAAATCTGGCCTCGTACATACCATCGCGTACATCAAGCTCCCAACCGCACTCGCATATGGAGTCTTCGACATCAACTCACGATCTTCAACTGACTTCGGTGAAAGACCAGCTGAAAGCTTCAAATGGGCTCCCAATGGTACACTAACTGGCTTCGTATCCATGCTAACATAGAATCGCTGTAGAACCTTCTTCAAATAAGCCACTTGTGTCAAACAAATTCTGTCATTCTTCTTGTCTCTGCCGATCTCCATCCCTAGAATGCGCTTCGCCTCACCCAAGTCCTTCATCTCAAACTCATTTGAAAGCTGAACTTTCAACTCATCTATCGCCGACCTGGAAATAGAGGCAACCAACATGTCATCGACATAGAGCAACAAATAAATGTACGCACCTCCTTTCAACTTGCGAAAATATACGCAAGGATCAAACTGGCTCCGAGTGTACGAATGACCAATCATAAAACCATCGAATCGCCTATACCACTGTCGAGGAGACTGCTTCAAACCGTATAGCGATTTCTTCAGTTTGCAAACTAATTTTTTCTTTCCTGCAGCTCGGAATCCCAATGGCTGAGTCATATATATTTCTTCATCAAGATCACCATGAAGAAATGCCGTCTTCACATCCAACTGATCTAACTCTAAACCATACTGTGCCACCAAAGCTAGCAAAATCCGAATCGAATAATGCTTCACCACCGGAGAGAAAACCTCATTATAGTCAATACCTTCCTCCTGTGCATAGCCCTTCGCAACCAACCTAGCCTTGAATCTCAACGGAGTGCCTTCAATGCCCTCCTTCTTCGTGTATACCCACTTGCAACCAATTGCCTTCCGCCCCTTTGGAAGCTTAACAAGCTCCCATGTATCGTTCTTATGAAGAGATTCCATCTCCTCCTGCATAGCCACCTGCCACGAATCAGCCTCCGAACTCTGCTCGGCCTCTCTGAATGTAGTAGGCACTAACTCATCGATACTCTCCACCGGAAGTGCATGCGCAACTGTGTCGGCATACCGTGCTGGCATCTGTATGTTTCTCCTCTGTCTCCGAGCCGCAATTGAATCCTGAACTTGAGCCGTCGGTTCCTGATCCTGCACATTAGTACTCGTATCCTTCGTATCACCGTCGTGCTCGCCTGACGTCACCTCAGTCGGCACCTGCATGGATACTATACCATCTGGACAATGTGGAGCTGCATCGATCTCCACCACCTGTGATATCTCCTCCGTCGGATCGCTCTCCACCTGATGAGAGCTGGGAAGCTTCAAGATAGAAGCTTCATCAAACGTGACGTCCCTACTCAGCACAATCTTCTTATCCACTGGATCCCAAAGCTTGTATCCCTTGACACCACGCTTGAATCCTACAAATATGGCCTTCCTAGCTCGAGGTTTCAATTTATCAGTTCTAACATGATAATATGCAGGGCACCCAAATACCTTGAGCTGGTCATAGTCATGTGCTGGTTTTCCCGACCACATCTCCATAGGGGTCTTCCCCTCAATCGCAGATAAAGGCAGCCTATTAATGAGGTGGCTCGCATATGTAAGTGTCTCAGCCCAAAAGATATTCTCCAAACCACTCTGCGACAATAAGCATCGGATCTTCTCCAGTAAAGACCGATTCAACCTCTCTGCCACCCCATTTTGCTGCGGTGTATGACTAACTGTGAAGTGTCTCTCTATGCCCTCGTCTCGACATAGCTGCTGAAAGGGGTCAGAAGTATACTCACCACCGTTGTCGGATCGCAACGTCTTGATCTTTCTCCCAGTCTGCAGTTCTAATCTCTTCTTCCACCCAACGAACAAATCTAGGACTTCACTCTTCTTCGTCATGGTGTACACCCAACATCGCCTAGAATAGTCATCAACAAACGTGACGAACCAATGTCGACCACCAAGTGATGCAGTCTTGGTGGGACCCCAAACGTATGTGTGCACGTAGTCCAGAATGCCCCTCGTCTGATGAATGACAGTCCCGAACTTCACCTTCGTCTTCTTGCCAAGAACACAGTGCTCACAAAACTCAATCTTCCCACTCTTGGCTCCCTTCAATATCCCCTGCTTGCACAATGCCTGCAGTGACTTTTCACCTGTGTGCCCCAATCTATAGTGCCAAAGTCTACTCATGTCCGCTTCTGAAATAGCCGAAGCAACCTGGCCAATCTCGGTGCTTCCCTTCAGATAATACAAATTCCGATTGCGGACTCCCCTCATCACCACCAATGATCCCTTAGTAACCTTCGCTACAGCGTTTTCGAAAGTCACCTTGAATCCCTTCGCCTCCAAAGCTCCAACTGAGATAAGATTTTTCTTCAGTTGAGGAACAAATCTCACCTCCTTCAACTCACGGACTACTCCATCGTGCATCCTAATCCGTACGGTACCTATCCCACAAACGCCACAGGATTGATCATTTCCCATGACAACAACGCCCCCGTCGACTTTCTCAAAAGATGCAAACCAGTCTCGCCTAGGGGTCACATGAAAGGTAGCGCCGGAATCAAGCATCCAATCTGATGCATCCACATGGTTCACCTCCGGAGTAATCAGTAGAGAAAAGCACGAATCATCGGAATCATCGCCTTTCGCAATGTTCACCTCATTGGCCTTCGGGCCCTTTTTCTTGCCATTCTCCTTCTCCTTGAGCTTCGGGCAGTCTCTCTTCCAATGTCCCTGCTCCTTGCAGAATGCACATTGGTTCTTTGTTAATTGGTGGCGGCCTCTAGACTTTGACCTTCCTCTATTACCACCTTTCGGATATGGGCTTCTACCTCTCGTCGACAAGGCCTCTCCTGAAGTACTAGCGCGGGAAGTCTCCTTATCCTTCCTCCTCAAATCGTAGTTCGTCAAAGCGTTAGTCACTTCACTATAGCTGATAGAAGATCTCCCGTTCAACAAAGTGAGCACGAAGGTATCATACTCCTCATCCGGTAAGGAGCCCAACAAAATAATCGCCTTGTACTCATCCGATATCTTCTCATCAACATTCGCCAAGTCCGACAACAACTTCGTATAGTTGTTCACATGAGCCGCAAGCGAGGTGCCTCTGGACATCTGGAATCTGAATAACCTACGCAGCAAGTGCAATCGGTTCTCAACACTCTTCGTAAGGTACTTATTGTTGAGAATTTCCCACATCTTCATCGCAGACGTCACCCCAATCACATCATACTTCAGCTCCTGTTCCAAACAGGACCTGATCACCCCACAAGCGTTCCTATTCATTTTCTCCCATACCGCCTCATCATATTTAGGTGGCCTCTCGTGGACCATGATGGTCTCTTCCAAATTCTGAGCATTTAACGCATCCTGTACGTCGCTCATCCACAAACCAAAGTTGATTTTTCCGTCATATTTCACCACACTAATTTTGGTGTTTTGAAAACCAACTTGTATCGTACCCGCCATCGATTTGCTGCTTTCACCTTCTTCTCCCATTGCGAACTAACTCCAAATTGTAGAGAAAGAACAAATTTGATAGAATTAGGAACCACCCAACTGAACCCTAGATCGGATTCCAAATAGATCTCCTATCCACACGAGGAAAGCGAAATCTCCAACGGCAACTCCTAATGCTATCTCCACCGAAGCCGAGAACTCCAAGAACTAAGCTTCACACAAGAATCTTCCTCCACCAAAAAACCCTAGATCTGAAATCTGGGCTCTGATACCACTTGTTGCGCGCAGCGGAAATTTCGGCAGTACTTCGGCAGCACAACAAGAGAGTCAGATCGCAATAAGATTCTTGTCTCCTTGGTGAGACGGGAATTCTTATTGCGATCTGACTCTCTTGTTGTGCTGCCGAAGTGCTGCCGAAATTTCCGTTGCGTGCAACATTCACTCCCACTCTCTCACTGCAACTTCCAAATTTCGTACAATGAAAGAGGACTATGAGATGATATTATAGCCACCTTGGCTCAAATTTCATCAGACATGTCATTTAAAATGAATTTAAAAAAAACTATTGTGCAAAATAATTCGGCCCCTAAAGCAAGACGCTCAACCTACAGAGACATGTCAGAATATAAAAAATATAACTTTTAGTCTTCACTATAACCTCAAAGTTTTGACGTAAATCCGAAGTTTTCTGCATGAAACATGGTTGAATCGTTATGTGTTGTTGATTTCCATGTAGCTAATGTTTTTGGGAAGCCGAAGACAAACACAGACTTTTTCGCTGTCAACGGAGAGGGATTTAAGATCTTGGTACCATCGAAATGGAATCCTAGCAGAGAAGTTGAGTATCCCGGTCAGGTTTTGAGGTACGAGGATAACTTCGATGCTAACAGCAATGTTACTGTGATGGTGACTTCTACTGATAAGAAATCCATCAAGGAGTTTGGTGCACCTGAAGCTTTTCTATCACAAGTAAGCATTTTTTCCCCCTGCTGTGCGGTTTACCCTTTTAAGTTAGGCCAGAGTGAATTGAATTAAAATACAAAATTGGGATCAGTACCTAACAGATTAAAGCTTTAGTTCAATTTCGTTCTCCATCCCTGTTTAAATCTCATTAACTCAGTAGATCAGCACCCATTTTTTCTCAACAAACATGTACTGTTGAGAGTTAATTACTAGTGCATTTTTGACATATTTATTTTAAAAAGTCTGAAGAAACATGCATATACTGTATTACACTCCAGTACATGATACCTATTTCATTTTCGATGAATGACTCCTATGACGATTTATTTTGCTTCTTTGTGCAGGTTGATTATTTGTTAGGCAAACAAGCCTACTTTGGAAAAACAGCGTCAGAGGTGAGACTACAAATTTTCTCAAGCTACGCAATTCTATTAACAGCATAACGGTACTCTTCGAGTGCTGATACTAAAGACCGATTATTTTCTATAGGGTGGGTTTGATCCTGATGTCGTAGCGACTGCGAACATACTGGACACTGCAGAGCCAGTTGTAGGAGGAAAAGATTACTACAGCATCTCGGTTTTGACGAGAACAGCGGACGGAGATGAAGGAGGCAAGCACTTGGTTGTAACTGCAACTGTTTCAGACGGAAAGCTGTACATATGCAAAGCACAAGCAGGGGATAAGAGATGGTTTAAGGGAGCTAGGAAGTTTGTGGAGAGCACTGCTAGTTCTTTCAATGTGGCATAGTGAAACGATGCTCTCTTGCTGTAGATGAACCCAATGCGTTTGTAAGAGGATGGGATGTGGGATTTGGTTTTTTCTGGGATCATGACCTTTCTGTGTCTTGAGACGCTTGTGGTTATGGTTTATTTAGTTAAGTACAGACTCCCCCGCATTTAATTAATAAAGGGGCTGGATCTTCTCCAATTAGGTGATAATTAGAGAGTATCGAATCACCCCCAATCTTCATATCAAATCAGAGAAGTTGGAGAAGGATTATCTCTCTCATTAATCTTTCCTTGATACATGAGAACATTTATTTATAGATGCTGAGAAAAGGAGAAGAGTGTATGCACTGGCAAATAGACAAATGCACTACCAATTATGAAAGATATGGAATAATATATATTCCTACCATATTAATAATATATCGTGCTATATTTCAACACTTCACCATCCATTCCAATATCAAGAGAGAGAATTATGGATAAGAAATTCAGAATTCCGAAAAAAAGAAAAATAAACAATCAAATAGACTGTCTGGGTGGCAAAACTGAAGAAGACTTTCGGGATTCACAAATTACTACCCCTCAAGGTGATAGAGGAAAAAAAAATCACACAAATATTACAAGAATAACCAGATATATTAAGAGTTTATGAGCTAATTTGTAAATACTAGATATTTAAGGGATTAATATAAAAAAATATCATACCATTTTCCATGGGTCAAGCTGAAACTCAAATTAGAAAAAAAAAATAGAAAAAGAAATAAAATGAGCTCCTTTCCTTTCCAAAAGAATTTTTAAAATACAGATAGATCCCTCATAGAATCGTCATTTGCGGATGGACCCTTTCACAATTCTAATCGTGCGGATGGACCTCATATACTATTTGCCCGCACGCAAATAGACCTTCAGTAAGCTTTTTTATTATTATTCTTTTAAGGGCCTGTTTGGTTCGTTTCCTTGATATAGAGAAATGCAATTTCATGTAAAGAAACACAAGTTTTGAGTTTTCCAAACTTTTCCAAGAAATAGATTGTTTTGCTTTGGTTCGCACATAAAAAATGGTGGAAAGCCATTGTATTTATTTTTCTCGTGTTTGGTTCGCATAGAAAAAAAAAGAAAAACTTTTGTAAACAAAGCAGAGAAGGAAAAAAATCTGACGTGGCAGAGTTTTCATCAATTTCACTTGGTTGGGGAAGAAAATCGGAGAGGGAAAAAAATCTTAGTTGGCGGCGATTTCAGCAGAGTTTTCCCTCTTCCATTCGAGCGAACCAAAGCGGCACAAAGAAATGGACGGAAACAAAAAAGCTGACGTGGAGGGCTAAAACTCTGATGTGGAGGGGTTTTTTGAGTTTTCCACCCCTTATAATAGCGAACCAAACAGCCCCTAAGAGAAAAAAAAATTTAGTAATTGAGGATTTGTCGGCACTAATAGAAGTGCAGGGGTCTATCTCTCTCCACGAAACTCTTTTTGAATTTAGGGGCTGTTTGGTTCGTTTCCTTGATATAGGAAAATACAATTCCATGTAAAGAAATATAAGTTTTGAGTTTTCCAAACTTTTCCAAGAAATAGATTGTTTTGCTTTGGTTCGCACATAAAAAATGGTGAGAAACCAATGTATTTATTTTTCTTGTGTTTGGTTCGCATAGAAAAAAAAGGAAAACTTTTGTAAACAAAGCAAAGAAGGAAAAAAAAATCTGACGTGACAGGGTTTTCATCAATTTCACTCGGTTAGGGAAGGAAATCGGAGAGGAAAAAAAATCTGAGCTGGCGGCGATTTCAGCAGAGTTTTCCCTCTTCCATCCGAGCGAACCAAAGCGGCACAGAGAAATGGACGGAAACAAAAAAACTAACGTGGAGAGCTAAAAATCTAACGTGAAGAGGTTTTCTGAGTTTTCCACCCCTTATAATAGCGAACCAAACAGCCCCTTAGTTTTAAAAAAAAACATTCGTCCGTGCTCGACCCAAAGAAAAAGAGCCTCTTTTCAAGTATACATATGACCCACGCGTATGGACCTTTGTTAGAAAGTAGGCCGAAACCTAAATATGAGAATTGGCCCAGCTCACGCCGTACTGGTAAGTGACAAAAATGTCCTCAGACGTTAAAATAAATATCAATTTAGGGCCAGGGTTTCGCGATAAAACCCTAACCTCGCCTCCAAAAGGGGGATCAGATCGGCCAAGGTTCGAAAGATTAAATCGCGACGATGAGGGCGAAGGTTAGATCTCTTGTACCTTTTTTTTTTCATCAAGATCTCATATTGTTCTTCAATTTTCTTCTTATTTTTTTAATCGAAAATATAACTTCGTGCAACGCTTGTGATGTATTGATTTAGGGTATTTATCTATTTATCGAACTACTTATTTTCATTTAATTGTATCTTTCTTAATTCCATTGATTGATGAGATATCATTGCATAAAAATTTGTTAGTTTTTTCTCTTTTTTTTTTTGAATTGCTTATGTGCATATTCGTAAGGATGATATTGAGGTGAATAGTTTAACCCAGATTATTGGTGCGAGTTTTATTCTTCGCATTGCTACTATTGAAAAATATGGCAAAGTAATTTTTTAGAGAATATGGAGTGCGGTGAGGAATTTTAATGCTGATGGGTTACGATTTAACTGGGTGATAGAAGAATTGAAAATTAGCCAATAAATTAGTGGGAGATTTTGCATTTTGGTTTGGGATGGGCTTCAAAGTGTAAATGACATTTACTAAATTGTGATATTAGACTTGTAACGCAATGAAACTGGAATTTTGATGTTATAATGGCTTTGACAAATGTAGGCTGGTTGGCATATGGTTTTTGAAATTAAACTAATATGTGTTTATGAATGATATCTTCAGTGTGATGTTTTAAAAAAAACATGACATTTTAGCCATGGAGTACAGTTAGTCCGATTAATTCTGTTATGGTGTATTGCTTGGACGCCATTGCGTTTAATAAAAGACGAAATTGATTGATGTATGTATATTGTTCATTTTCATGTAATTATAGTTTTTAGCACAAGGTTTTCATTTATCCATCTATACCTAATAAGACGATGATAATTTTTATCACATTTCAAACTTTTTTTTTCCAACAATGACACCAGTTTGATTACTTACATAATGTCAAATTAAGAATAGAAAGAATGTATAGTCACATGCCTTGTAAGCTTGTTCGTTTAACCTTATTAGGACATACTTTGAGCTACTTTTTTCCATCTGGCTTTGTATACAGGGGGGTTTTGGGATTTTTTACCTCCTTCAGTTGTGAATAGTTGATTTGCACTACCACAAGCTTTAGCAATAAGCTAAAGCTTTAGCAATAAGCTAAAGCTTTAGCAATAAGCTAAAGCTTATGAGTAAGCTAGGTTAAGTAATAAAAATTTAGATATCGATTGATTGGTTTAACCGGGTTTCAGATGGTGTGTTGAGGTGCGGTGGGTTTGTTTGCAAGCTTATTTAGGGTGGGTTAGCATCCATGTAAATTATGGGCCCAAGTTATTTTAGTTGATATCGGTAAATAGTTGGTTTAACATGAACCCGTTTAAAGGTGACTTAAAACTATTTTAACTCTTTAAATTAGACATGGTCTAAAGGTTTTTTTCCCTCCCTTTCTACCACAAAAGGCTCGGATTGATTATTATAGCTCTTAATATTCTGTTATGACTATTTAATAAATTGAATTATATGCGTGAAGAAATATTATGATCTTAGTGCCTGGATGCCAAATAGTCGATGTCAATTCTCAATTGGCCAGTTATCTGAAGTAGGGTGACCTTTATATTTTTGCTTTCTGCCCAATCATTCTACACATGTTATATGTTTTCCCTTTTTACAGTTTGACTTTTTTTTGCATATGGTATGCCTTTTTCTAAGATAACCACCATTGTGCATTTTCTGTTGCTTATCTCGCTACTATGACATTTTCTGTATACTTGTTAATTCAGTGGAAGAAGAAACGCATGAGGAGGCTCAAGAGGAAGCGCCGAAAGATGAGGCAGAGATCCAAGTAATTGGACAAGGACTACATCAACCCCCCCAGCATCTAAGTAGATAGGGATTCTGATGGATCCTACACATTGATGATGTTTGAGTTATAGGTTGATGGAGGACTGTCCTTGGTGTCCTGTTTAGGATTTATACCGTACAGTTAGCCGGTGGTTTCTGTTTGCGATTTTAGATGCTTTGAAGGATAAACTTGTAGTTGACCTTGTTACGTTTTAATAATTGTCTTGACTATGTGCGGTTTAAATTTTTGTGTGGTGTGTCCTCTTAAATCTAGCTTTTGTTTGTGAATCGTCGGTATTCTTTTGCTGTTGTCCACCGTGAGGCAACTAGTATTGATTTTTCACATTGTGACTACATAGGGTTTTGTTTTGTTTTGTTTTCACAACCATTTCCTCTGTGCTTGATATCGAGGCATTATCCATTACTTAAGAGTTTGCTGATTAGTACTGCATTTGTGAGAAATTTATGATATTGTGATGCTTGGGGTTATTTCTGATGGCATGTGTTGTTTCCGATTTTATATGGCTTCCAACTTTGTTAAAACTTCGATTGCCAGAAGGCTGGTTTTGCTTGCTCTTCAGTTGAGCATCGCTAGTTGTTTCAAATTTGTCATCTTAACTGGTGAAATATTTGTGGATAGGATTAATGAACAGTTAATAGATGCGTGGTTTTGAGTGAGTGCTCAGTGCGATCATAATATTGGAACTCATCGTGCATGTGTACTTGCACGTATTTTATTTATCGGTTTTTCTATAGAGTGTCCATGAGCATTCTATAAGAGAGGAGAGAGATAGAGAGAAATGAATGAGGATGGGGCTCTCTGATTTGCATTGGGATCATCTTCTCGTTCATTTCTCTCAATCTCTCTCCTCTCTTATAGAGTGTCCATGAGCACTTTATAGAAAAACCGTTTATTTATTTATTTATTTTTGAGATAAAACAAATTATATTAATATATGAAATAGTTGCCAGACCATAAAGTCTAGCGTACAAAACGTCCAACCAACAGGAGCTTGGGAGAAACATCCAAAACCAAAATATGTACGTATGCTCATCGTTCATATCAAAATAACACTTGGGATCTCATATTAAGACCAAACCAAACATGCGTGATCTCTCAGAAATTTTCTCCAACTTCCGCTCGGCATCGACGGAGAACGCTTGAAAGCAAACTTCACATTTATCTTATCTGAATTCCCTATTCAAATATAGTATGAAGTGGGTAATGTTAGAAGCAAGCTTTTATGATGTAACATAAATCTTTTTGAAAATCAAGTTTTTGCGAGCCCTCCATATACTCCAACATAGGACGGGACAAAGCACATTCTGGAGATTCCTTCATATAGAGATTTAATATAGCGAAAGAAGCCGATGGGTGAAAAGGCCTAAAAGCTTTATCTTTTACTGTTGTTAGGACTCATGTTGGACATCACAAGGAATCCTTTCAAATCCTGAACTTATTGTCCATCAAAATCTAGAAAAATGATACAGGCACACCCTCAGGCACACCATCAACCACACCTCCTCTCTATCTACAGTGCAGGGGGCCCCACATCAGATTTTTTTAAAAAATCTGATGTGATGCCCCCTGCATTGTAGATAGAGAGGGGGTGTGGTTGGTGGTGTGCCTGAGGGTGTGCCTGTAGCGCCTCCCCTAAATCTAAGATATGTCGTCTTAGCAGAGGATGCCACCTCCAAACATTGTCTTGGAAGCATGCATTCTCTTTTTTATACCGGTAATATTTAGAGAATGTCAAATTATACGCTGAGGGAAAAAGACTAGCCAAAGAGTTAGGTCCATGTCATTTATCCTCTCAAAACCTTAACACTTGAACCATCACCTAACTTCCATTGAATTAAACTTAAAAAGCTTGGTTCACAGAGTTTATATCATGTCAAAATTTAGAAGCTAGATGAGGAGATGGTGTACAACTAGAGATAAAATGATGATGAATATAGAGAACAAAAATGGAATTGACTTAATGAATCACTCTTGAGATGTTTCCACACCCATTTTCAAAGGAGAGCATTACTGAAAATTTTAAAATTTAGTAATAACAAGAGATCTCCCCTTACACTCATTTTTACTACCTCAAAAAAAAGCCCAAATATGTTCCATTTCCTTGATTAGCCAAATTGATAATTTGAAGGACGCACGGTATAAAGGAAGAAAAGATAGCATAAAGTTAATTAGAGTTAAACCACCACCGATAGACAATGCCTACCTTTTTTTATAGATAATTTTCTATTGAAGTTGTCAATGAGGAGTGGCTGCCAATCTTTTTTCAGAGAGAGCTCCTCTCGTGAGAATTACCATTCAAAGCCCTTCTAGAATTATAATTTGCCCTTCAAATTTTAGAGAATTTGTACTCACACCCACTAAAGAAACTACTAGACCGTTTGCACGGGGAGTTCTAACGACACAATCTCAATCAGCTGCTACGCGTCCCACAAACCCAGATTAGCCCCACCCTAACCCTAATTGAAAACTAAATCCCTCACCTGTTGGTTTTGGTCGTGTGAAGAATGAAACCTGAAACAAAAAATGCGGGTGAAAAATCTCGGGTCGGTCGACCGACGGAGGAGATCCGGTCGACCGAAGAGACTGCAGAAAACGAGCTCAGGAACACGCTCTGGTCGATCGACCGAAGCTGTGTTGTCGGTCGACCGAGGGTGACCAATCAATCGACCGAAGGTGATGCGCCGGTCGACCGAAAACATGCACGAAGACCCTGTAAGAAACTGTGTTCTGTCCGGTCGACCGACACACATGGTCCGGTCTACCGGAATCAATTTTTCCAATTTCCTGATTCGTTTGGGAATACTGTATTGGGCCAGGATACTATATATACATTGATATGTTTTTAGGGTTTGTAGAACACGAACAAAGAGGGTTTTGACGGCTATTTGAGAGAGATATCTCAGAGAGATAAAAACCTATTTGTGAGCATTGTAATATTCTTCAATTAATCAAAGAATTGTGTGGTGTGGCTCCCGAGAACGTAGGCACGTTTGCCGAACCTCATTAAATTTGGTGTTCTCTGGTTTGATTATTCTTTCCTGTAAGTTTTTCTTTTATTTGCGGTGATTTTCCTACTTGTTAAACTCTTAGCACAAGATTCGGAAGGACAAGGGTTTGATTGTGTGATTCGAATCCCCAACATCACCCTAACTGAAAACTCTTTCCATGTGCATATAACCCATTCAAACTTAGTAGCGCATTTAGAATTTCAGGTCAAATGGGCCTAACTATTAGAAGCCTAAATCATAGAGCTTCAAAACCTGAAAACCAAAACAACACTAAAAAAATTTCAAAAAACCCATAATTCAAATTCTCTATGTTACCTAGGGATCTAATTTTGCAATTCCAAACTTAAAACGGACTCAAACCGTAGTCTATGTCATGCATTCTCATCAAGTGCTATAATTTTATAACATTATATTTTTATTTTTTAGATAAATAGTCACCTTATCGTCTGCCCCTCTTAGACAAATTTTTCTGGATTCGCCACTGCATGCAATAGGGTATGTAAGCCCTATTTAGCCGGATGGGAAGAACTGAATTTAAAACCCCAATGCAAGCAATGATAGATAATCATTAGGTAAGCACTCGTTGACCTATTTCCGAAAAAAAAAAAAACCAATCCCTTCTAAACAAACTACACCTACCAAATATCAGCGATGATTTAGCTCAACTTGCATTTGACAACCTTCACTCGAATAAGGAAAATAAGGAACCGATCAACCACGAAGAAGAAAACAATTGCATGAGTCTAACCAACCACCGTACTACTACTACTACTTCCCAAAACATAACAAGCAGCATTGCACGCCTACTATAAATACAACCTTTATGTTCCTTTATAATCATCGTCAAAAAAAATATATATACAGAATCCTGAACAATCATGGCTTCAAGCACAAGGTTCTTCGCCCTCGCCGTCTTCGTGTTCTTGAGCATCAGCGTATGCCAAGGGGCTCGTCACCTGTTAGACACTCCGGCTGCAGCTGCGACCCCTCCAGTTCCGACCACCCCAACACTCCCAGTTCCGACCATCCCCGCGTTGCCTCAGCCCCAGCTCCCTCCGCTGCCCCCGATTCCCATGAATCCTGCCATACCGAATTTTGCAGCGCCTCCCATGCCAGCGATACCGACTATCCCTGGAATTCCTTTCATACCCGCTTTTCCAGCTATCCCGGGCATCCCATTTCTTCCACCGCCTCCTTCGACGAAAAGCCCTTGATGCGTTGCTTGAATGTAGTGTTGCGTGTTATGTGGACTTCATTGTGTTATTATGATTATGGTGTGTGAGGTTTGGTCGTTGTTTTTGTTTGGTTTATAGATCTGTGTTGTTTGGTTAGTTGAGTATGAATTTAGTAGTTTGTGTTTGAGTATATTTTCATGCATGTGTTGGGTTATGGATGGAGTTATATCTGATTACAAGATGCATGTATACTAGGGATGCTAAACCGTATTCGTATCCGATGAAATATCCGTAACCGTATCCGTTAGGATACGAATATGGTTACTCAAATCTATAACCGATAGGATATGGTTATGGATATGGTTTTGTAGTGAAATATCCGTATCCGTATCCGAAATATCCGAATACATATTAGTCATACTCTTACGATAGTTTCGATTCTTAGATTATGGATTTGTGGTTAATTTTGATGATCAAGATGACTAATCTTAACTATTTAGTTATAATGGACATATTAACGAACTTTTTTTGTATCACATGAACTATGTTTTTCTCAATACTATCTAGTTTTCTCATATCTGTTTTGTATCCGCATGCATATCCGCTTATATATCCGCATGTATATCCGTAACCGTATCCGATTTTAGCGGATATGGTTATAAGTTTTTCTTACCGAGGTATATCCGTATCCGTATCCGTATCCGAGATGGGTAAGCGGATATGGATATGGTAAGCATCATATCCGAGCCGTATCCGGACCGAATGCACCCCTAATGTATACGCATCAGTTATATCTTCACGTTGTGTGACACAAGACAATTTGATTACTTCGTCATGATTAGCCCTGTACTGCTAGATTCTTTCTTTCTATTATAAAGCATGTTAATCGAGGAATAAAAAGATATAATTTTTCTTCACCAAAGGGCTATCTCAATATTAAATCCAGACCAAAGGCAATTACCTGCTGAATACAACTCGACACAAGTTTGCAGAAAATTATAACGATGACTGTAGTTTGTAAAAGATGATTGCAGTTATGCTTGTGGTTATTTGTTTCACTACAACTTTAGTTCTCTAGACATTACAATTTTGAATTTGAATATCTTAAAAAAATAATATTTGACTAATTTACCGCAACTACATCTGCAACCGTAATCACCTGTTTTCAAATAATTTTTTCACGAACCAACACCGCTTAGGAGCTATTTGGTTGTACGTACATAGGGCTGTTTCGTGGTATGTAAATAGAGCTGCAGAAGTAAATACTCAACATTTATATTGCACGAAATAAAATAAGATAAAATAAAAAGAAGATTTTACATTATCAAAAACATACATCCAATTCGAGGTAAGAAAATCATTCACACCCATGTTTCCTCTTTTGCACCATTTCTTTCAACCAAATTCTAAATTTATATTGATAATGTATTTTCCACAACAAAATTGCAAATATCCAAACTATGGACTTTAAGTGGTAGAGTACGAAATTAACACCCGCTAAAATAAGTTTCGGAATAACAAATTAGCATCCTTATGGTACAGTATACACAAGCAAAACATTTTAATTTCATCTAACAAACACAACTACCTGTTAATGAGAAGATGCAGCCTGGAGCGAAAAAATTAATTATGAGGACAGAACAAAATCTAAAAGCTTAAAACTCAACTAACTAATCTAGAACTACAAAATTTCCACCCATCAGAAAGCATTCTACAATGCCTCTATTAACCTGAGACACCTCTATAGTTCATTCCTGAATGGCTTGCCTCCAGCACATTGAAACCAAGAAAATTACGCAGATGAAGCCAAAAATGCCATTTTGTCGCTGAATGACCCCAGTTCCCTTTGATGAGGGCAAATATGACAATTGCCGAACATGATATCTTAATATCTCTCTTGGCAGGATTTTCCTTTTTCTTTTTCTTTTTTTTTTCTGTTCGAAAATTTGAAGATCTTAAATGGTGAACTAATCACTCCAGTGTGGTATGTCTCTTTTCTAGTAGAGACGACAAAAACGCTGAGCAGAGTTTTGTGAGAGGTGGAAGAACATGGGACGATCCACTGAAAATAGTCTCCCAAGGTCTTTCTGAAGGCACAAATGGAATTTCTTGGATCTCATCCTTCTTACTATCGAATTCCGGAAGCTCCCCATATATTGACGTATACCCAATACGAGCTGGTAAAAAAATGTTATCCCACAGTTAATAATGTCAAAAGTGCAACTTCTACACCTTAAACAAGACATAAGATTATTCAAACTTCAAAGTCTTGGTGTGATGAGGTAGAAATTTATGACAAAATACAAATGAAATATGACAGTAACAGTACTCTAAAAAAATGCATGACTTCATCTGATGATTTTAACATCTGATGATTTTAAGAGGTTCTTGTATGCTGACACGTATACTGCCAATTATCTGCACTAGCTATGCATCAAATGTAGGGTATTTGGGGGACTTATTTTATCAAAGTACATTCTCAGCTTACTTCCCTATCTGCCTGTATGGAAACAAGCCAAATAAGTTTGGCTTCTAAATCTCAATTAGAAAAGTTAGCATTCCCCGGCTTTTGAAAACCTAGCTTATAAGCTCACTCAAATCAACTAGGTTTGACCAAGCAAATGACTATTCTACTCATAATTTTTATAGAAATTTTAACATAAAAACTAAAAGCCACCAAAAACTGACATTGCTTAAAAGGTTTTTTTTTTAAAGCCTCCCAAACACCCTCATAACCAAATGACAGGGATTTTTAACTTGCATTTAAAAGGCCACTTTCTAGAGATTTAGCTTATAGAATTTTAGTGACTACAAAATATGATAATAATAATGCCGGCAATCAAATATACTATATGACATGCATATATATATGGCCAATTAGCAACGGATGTTTACAGCATGAATGAATTAAGCCCCCAGAAAAGCACATAGGACAAGATGTGGCAAATGCTAGAATTTGTTAGTCGTCATAAGGCAGCAGATCCAAAGAGAGAGAATCAGAAATACCTGTTCCATCATCAGGAAGAAGACTTTTAATGAGAATTCCTGCTGATTTCGGGTATCTGTCCTTTGTGTGGATCAAAGATTATATATTCATGATCACCATTTATATATACCAACAAAGGAATGCCACTTCCATCAGCATCTTCTACATCGGTATGCTGACGAGATGTATCAGGAGGCATAAAAGCAAGACTGCCTTTTTTTGCCTGATTTCCAGGAAGAACAGTCAAAAAAAGATGACGATAGAATCCAAAATTTAAAAACATATTTATCATATTGGATAGGTCTGCAACTTGCTCAGGGCATAATCATGCTCAGTCAACCCAACCATTCATAGGACTGCATTGGAATAAGAGCTTAGGAAAAAGGCCTCGAGCTGATTATACATACACAGCCTAATATAAAAAGTGTGAGTTTTGGTTGTGCTCAACCCCCACCTGAGCCTGACATAATCCAAGCCAACCACAAAACCAGACCAAAGTACACGAAACAAAAGAGTTAATTGCTGATAGAGCCCATGTACAATCGCCCAATTGCAGATAGACCCTCAGGAGCTCTACTGTTGCAGATAGAACCCTGAGTGAATCTTTTTGACTCCTTTACCCTCAAGAGGTATATTTGCCAAAAAAAAAAGCTCACTAACAGTCAAGGAGTCGAAAATATTCACTCAGAGGGTCTATCTGCAGCAATAGAATCCGCAACCAGGCAACAGTACCTGGTCGCCTATCTGTAATTAACTCTAAAACGAAACTAGGTATACGTTAGATATATTCTAGCAAGACAGATCTAGAAGGTCCACACATATATACTCACAAATTATATGCTATAAAACTTAAAAACTAGTACGCATCCACATCAATTGTGTTAATAACTCCAAGGTTGTAATGTTAAGTTAAAAATTGACAGAAACAAGAATCAGCATCTAAAGGAGCCCATACTGATAACTCCACTCCCAGGATTCATTGTAGGAGACTAGGAGAAATATACTAGCATATAATATGCACAGTTAAAGGTCACATTCGGTAGGGAACACCTAAAAGAATAATATCGCCATGCCGAAGACCGAACAAGTGGCAGAAATAATAATACCTAGTCAATACTCCAAACCTATTCCGAGGAACACCCTCCCTATTTACTTGCCCATTCCTTAAAAGGGGGAAAAGAACAATTGACTATTTCTCTTAATGTTTAAAACATGGAGGACAAGTTGGCCTTGAATAAGACCATGAGATAAAAAGAATTTTTAATGGGCTTTCTCAACATTAGTCCCTTAAATATTTAATGCTCTGAAATTAGTCCTCAAATTATTGAAATTGCTATTAGGGCCCCCAAGTCTTTTATATTGCTACTGGTACTCTTGATTGTTTTGTAATGATTTATAGAAATTAGAGGACCTAATTGCGATTTTATGATTTGAGGGACTAATTTTTAAACTAATAAAAATTGAGAGGCCTGATAACAGTCTCAATGATCTGAGTGATTAATTTCAAGATATTAAAGATTTAAGGGACCGTCTCGAAAAACCATTGTTTAATGTGTAATTCGGTTAATCCATGTCACTTAAACTAATCACGAGCCAAACACAAGCAGTACCTTCTTCACCATCCATGTAGCCAGAGGAACAGGCTTTTTCACATCAAACAACAAAATGATACCATTTTGGTCTCCTGTAGCAGGTCCATTTGGTACTTCGGGCAGGACTAGGACAGCAAATTGAGACAAATCTTCTGTACAAGCTACGGCTGCAATAAAACACAAGGATTATTTTTTCCCCTTAAAATGAGACATCAAGAAAACACTTGGGTAAATAATAAAAACTAAACAATAAATTTTAAATCATTAGTCTATGGTCATACACACCTTCTGCACGAAGTTTATAAGACCAAACAATTGAAAGGTTTGACAAATCCCAAACAGCTAGCTGTGGATTTGAACCTTGAGATAGTGTCACAATATAATCTGACTTCCCAGCAAAAGAGATTGTAGTAATCGGCTGTGAAAAGAAGAGGGGAAAAAATATTATTAATAATTATGAATTGTATTGTCACTATATGCCTTCTTCAAGAATTGGGAAATATGATGTTATATGTGCATCACCGTGAACGTATCTCCAATTACAGCCACAAGAGCATTCTTGTCAGGGTCCCACAATGTTACAACAGTCTCTGCTGCAACAGCTAGAACAGAGCCATCAGCAGAAAATGCAGCAGCAGTCATAGGCATTTTCCTGCAATTCAATATTCTTATAAATATAAAATCACACAAACTTGCTGAAGAATCCAGTGATAAAATTAACAAAATATATGATAGATACTTGTACGATCCAACAGACTGGCATCTCCATCCAGATTTCTGGTGATCTTTCTGCTTATCAGAATAATAGAGCCAAACCTACAGTTGTAAAAACAATCAGTAAAGTTCACTTACAAATGTATAGAGAGGAGGAGACAACAAAAGAAAGAATGAATTGGACAAGTTACCTTAAATTCGCCACCCAAAGAAGTACTTACAGCCATTCTATAGCCAGATCGGAATGCAAGAGCAGAAACTTCTGCATAACTAAGTTGAAGTGAAAAGAGAGATTAGAAATATCAACCTTAATTTCCATAACAATACGCCTTCTGGTATTGAACTCAACAGAAGGTCAAACTATATTTGCATCTTTCATAATTTCTATGCATGACTATGAAGTATAAACAGTACATTATCACCGTAAAAATACAAGGTACGAAGGGGACTAGAAAGTTAAAATGACAATTTTAGTTAACATGATTTTCTAAGAAAGCATACACAGTGAAAAGCGTTAGTTACTTCAGAAAATTTATGTACATTTGCAATTCCTTTACTATAACAGCGATGCATTTTAAAAAAATGACAGAAATATAAGAGTACATCTGCCCTATCAATAAACCTAGAAGTCTCATCTAAAACAAGAGCATCATCACATCATAGAGCACAGTACAGATGTCTAACTTCAGGAGAGTTGGCAAGGAATGTCTGACAAGGATCGGTCTAGCAACCACAAAATCTAGTAGAAATATTTTAACTGATGTTTTAGTAACAACAGAAATGGTGATTGACGAGTCAAACACATGCTAAGTCAGTCATATAAGTAGTATATAGAGAAGATGTCTCCAAATAAAGTTATATAATGCAATGCTAAAGTTAAGATTTCCTCTTCTTTTAGTTACAAGTCGATGGGAAAAGGCATTTTATCACTGAGCTCTTTAGATTAAAAAAATAGTTTCCGCAATCAACAGTAAATGCACAGTTATAGTCCCTCAATAAACAATTTAGAATCCTGGAAAGGAATAGACAAGTTCAAAACCTGACTCAGTGTGCAAAGATGCAGATAGAAAGATTTCACATTTTAAGGAAAGTTCTTACCGCAAGCATGAGAAACAAACAGGATGGAGAGACAAATGCCATATAAGGTGTACGTGAAGTAAAGGACCTAAAGTTACTTTTCAGTTCAAGTTATGACACGATTAATAAGTTGAAACTCCCAAGTAAATTTTGTCAAATAACTGCAGACTAGCTGCTAGTTTGGAGGCAATTGTAGAAATACTTCTACGTATAAAACAAACATTTATTCTTCGTTTAAAAAAAGGGAAGGAAGGAAAGATGGAGCTTTCTAGTAATTAGGTGAAATCTTCTTTGAAAGGCAGAAGTGCAAGGCAAGGAGTTGGACCCTCTTATAAAGCACAGCATTGCTTCAAGACGTGAGGTGTAAACCTCATAAATTAGTAATATTTTAATTAAAATTTTTTAAATGTTTCATATATAGTGGTATGATACATACGAATAAATATATTCAAGTCGCAGACAATAAATACGAGTGAAACAAGCCAAGCACAGACATAAACTGCACACAAATTAAGCTGCATATAAAGACATCTATCTTATCTATAACCATGGTCATAATAAAGTCACCAGCCTAGAGTTAATTATTTTGAATCAGAACTTCATTTATATTATTTTTTGGCAGGCAGGAAATAAGAGATGTAGAAGAAATAGAACATCTCCTTAAGTTTCTTCTTTTACTTTTGGAGAAATCAATAAAAGTTACAAGAGATGAAGAGAGTATTGTTTCTCATGCAAGTCTATTATGGTTTGCTCAAGGGTTCCTAAGCAGGCACTGTAAATCTATCTTGTGCCTATGCAATCCTGCTATCACTCTCCTGAAGGAAGATATAATTTTTATCTTTACAAGTCTCAAGTATCAAATATTGAAAAAGAATATATTTTCCTTTGATTTCTTTTTATCTTCCATTCTGAGATTGGATAGGTTTTTCTACGAGAGAAGGGAAAGCAGAAGGAAGGTTATAAAGCAAACCACCCAAAACTTGTGTTTGTTTACAACTTTTAATTAGTAAGCGGAGGGGAGGGGGGGTTAAAATAGGCAAATTCCCTCGCTTTCTTAACCCTCCTAAAGTGGACGGCTTGGGAGGGGAGGGTTAAAAATAGGCAAATTCCTTCACTTTCTTAACCCTCCTAAAGTGGACGGATTGGAAGGGAGGGATTGAAACTTAAGTAAAACTTTCACAATATTCTAATATTGCCTTTAGAAAAAAAATACCAAAATTAGGTCCGCATTAATTCTTCAAAGGATACATTGGTCATATGCAGGATTCCTTCCTTTTCCATTCTCTACCCTAAACAAACACAACTTACTTCATACTCTCTCTTGCCCTTTTTGTCTATCCGTGTATATCAAAACACAATTTATATCATTCCATCCACTTCCTTTTCATTACCTCCCCTTGGATTTACCTCAGTCATTCCCCTCCCCTACCTCTTTGTGTATCCAAACCCATTATTAATATTGTTCCAAGACCAAATTCAGAAAAAAAGAGAACTAAAAATATAAAGTAAACTTAATTATTTCATCCAAAGAAGCTAATAGCAGAATTTAAAAAAAAAAAGTATTCTACCACTTTCTTAACCCTCCTAAAGTGGACGGCTTGGGAGGGGAGGGTTAAAATAGGCAAATTCCCTCACTTTCTTAACCCTCCTAAAGTGGACGGCTTGGGAGGGGAGGGTTAAAAATAGGCAAATTCCTTCACTTTCTTAACCCTCCTAAAGTGGACGGATTGGAAGGGAGGGATTGAAACTTAAGTAAAACTTTCACAATATTCTAATATTGCCTTTAGAAAAAAAATACCAAAATTAGGTCCGCATTAATTCTTCAAAGGATACATTGGTCATATGCAAAATTCCTTCCTTTTCCATTCTCTACCCTAAACAAACACAACTTACTTCATACTCTCTCTTGCCCTTTTTGTCTATCCGTGTATATCAAAACACAATTTATATCATTCCATCCACTTCCTTTTCATTACCTCCCCTTGGATTTACCTCAGTCATTCCCCTCCCCTACCTCTTTGTGTATCCAAACCCATTATTAATATTGTTCCAAGACCAAATTCAGAAAAAAAAGAGAACTAAAAATATAAAGTAAACTTAATTATTTCATCCAAAGAAGCTAATAGCAGAATTTTAAAAAAAAAGTATTCTACCATTGAGACCAACAGGTCATGAAAGCAGCTAATGAACGTTAGATAGTCACAGTGCTCAAGCATAAACCAATTAACAAAACATGCAAGATATTTGTGACATATTAAAGTTCTTAATTTCCAACTTTTACCTGTGCGGCTCATAGATGACAGTAACCAAATTATATTCTCCAACTCGAGACCCCCGGGCCCAAAATTTCAGAGTTATAAGATCCCCTAATCCCTCTTCCGGAAGCCTAACCTCAACAGTACTCATCATGGAGCCATCTCCTGAAAGAGACATCAAAGCCACAAACACCTGCAACATCGAGCTAACCAAGTAATTCCAATTCCAAGACATAGGTTAAAACACAAATAAAAGAGAACAGCCTAGACATGTTAATTTGCTTATGGAAGGTAAATGCCAATTCATTTTCATAAGAGAACCAAACAGTAGCACATACACATGCCTAATGGCAGATTATGGAAGAGCTATAGACGTGACATGTAATAGCAGGGTTAAAAAGTCAAGTCAGAGGACCGTCTCCAACAGGTTTTACCCAGAACATGCCGCTTTCTCTAAGTACAGCTTCTTTTGATATCTGAAAGATGTTTCAACCAAAGCTTCATTCTATAATCGCTGTAATTTAAAAGTTACAGGCAGAAAGGTTCTGCAATATGTATTGCAAACTTTCATCGCTGAGACAGCAATCCAAATCAATCACCACATAGAGACATACCAGTGATGGAATCATAAATAATCAAGAATAGCTTCCTTTAAAAGTCCTAATTATCTACTTTCAACATTACAAGGTCCTCTGTAAATTCTTGACTTAGACTATGGAATTAAAATCAATTCCAGATGAGGTAGAAGCTATGAAGCACGGACACGCATAACATGAAGCCGTGTCGTGTCGTGTCCGTGTCGGACACACGTGTCGGACACACGTGTCGAACACACGTATCCTATGCATTTTTTAGGATTTGCCTCGTGTCGGCGTGTCGGATGGCCGTGTCGGATCCGTGTCCATGCTACATAGGGTAGAAGTAGCCAGGAGTATCAAAATAAAGTTCAGAACAACCAATAAGACTAATTAAGTTATTCACTCATTATTATACAAAAATTACATGCCTCCGGCAGTCCGGCTTAATAAAATAAATTGCATTTAGTTCATGAACAATCCCACTTGTAAACTGTATAAGCATGTAATTTATAGAGGGATCTTTGATGCAGTGGGCAAATATGGTACTTTTTGTCTCCTCTTTTGTTTTCAAGTCAAAATCGCAGTTTATTTAATTCACCACATATTTTTAAAATTTACCACAATGTGTGCACCATGTCCTTGCCTCAATCAAACCTTCTGTAGATATATACAAGGACACCAGATGTAAAGTTCATAAACAAGAATAAATATAGCATGTTATGAGAGATTGTGATCCATATGATTTCCCGATGATATACCATCTTCTCTCTGCCAGGCATATCTGTAGTCAAAGGTATCTGTGGGCCTTGGACTATGTTCGAGAGATTATTTTATCATCTGATAGAACTTTGAGTAATAGAAAGATCGTCAACAAAATCAAAGGCATACGTTCATGTCTCAGAACACATGAAAGCTCGATCACCCTATTTAAATTCATATAAAAAGAAAACATAAATGATACAGTACCAACTCAGTTTACACTCCACATAAGATGCTACCTAAATTACTAGTATCTATAAGAATCAAAATTATTGACATTACAATTGCGTACATATGCTAGACAAAATTAATTCCTGAATGTTCAAATATTAGTTTTAAGTTCTTTCACGCATTACTAAAAATGAACTCATAAAATATTTAGTCTGTTTGACAACAAGGTTTTTCAAGAAAGTTGCCTTGCAATCTTGCCCATAAAGTGCAGAGCATATGAAAATGCCTAATCTGCTAGGACTACGCAGTCTCAACTACTCAGAGTAGATCTGTTTTGTGCTGTTGTCAAACAAAGAATACATAATTTATTCTGCATGACAACGAAAGGGAAAAGTAACTTTCACGCCTGAGTTTTCCTTAAGCGGCTTGATCAAAGGGAATTAATCAAAACGCCATGTACGCCTAATGCAAAAACCATCTTGTATAACCACCATGAAGCAAATTCAAACTATCGAGCCATCAGGTGAAAGAATAAAAATGTAGGTGGAATAAACTTAGCATGAGGTCCCGAAGTCATGTCAAAAACAAGGACAAGACTAAGATCCATGACAGGTCTCCCTCAAGTCATAGTCTTGCCCATGCTGTTGAAAACAGAGAGTTCGAAAAATATCATGATTGTTTGACACTACTAGTTTTTCTTTACACCCCTAGTGTTGAGTGTAAACTTTCAACTGAACCCCTTTTTCACTGTATGTATCATGCTGACATTTTGCTAAAGAACCAAGTGATGCTGCAGAACCTCACAAGCCTATGCAACAGGAGGCAATGCCCCCTTCCTCCCACTAAATAAGAGTCAAGTACATCATGAAACTAGAAAGATAGTCATAAATCTAAAAATTACAGGATGTTACCATGGGATCATCAACAGGCTGGAAATTTCTTTCACATACTTGCACCTGCAAGGTTAACAGTCTCATGAATCACGAATTCTATAAGAAAGATATTTAGAGTCCCATCTGGTAATGCAATCATTAAATAATTATAAGTCGGACTAAAGAAGAAATTTGTTAAATTGCACACCTGTGAAACTTCAAAGTTCTCGAACAAGCTGAAGAACTGTATACAATGATCGGAAGTCCGAAGAGCAACTAGCCCAGAGGAATAGTCAAACGCAAAATCACTACTAGGTCGTTTGTGCATATCTGGAAATGAGAAAGGAAGCTGAACAAATGATGTGTTAAGAATTTGTAGTTAATATTTCTTCCATCAACAATGAAAATAAATAAAATAATGCTTGAAGGAGAAGATCTCTTATTCTTCTCGGTGTATTAACACAAGCAGCATATAATTAATACAAGTGACCAACCTTTATCCCACCAATAGACTTGACAATTGCCATGGAAGGCATCTTTATTAGGTGAATTGAATTATCTGCGCAAGATATCTGAAAAAGCTGATTTCAGTTGGAATCCAAATATTCAAACAAGATTACAAGATCCAATATTCACAAATACATCTTTTGAGGCCAAAAAGTTATGATATTGACTGCAAACAAACCATTGACATAAATCAGCATGAAAGGTAATTATTTCTTTTAGAACCCTTTATTTTGTTCTCAGGTATAATAGCTTTTAAGAGACCATATCGCAAAGGAGGAGGTTGATCTAACAGGAACATACACAACATCTGACGGTAGATAGACAATATCTATAAAACAGTTCTGAGTAATGCTATCCAATCTTTTCAATCAGTACCTCCACCTACGACCTACCACTAACTACATAGACAAGTAAAAATTCTTGTATACTTAGATAGATCACATATATATATCCAAGATGACACGTCAGTATATAAAATTAAGTTCTCCTGGGTTTCTTCAAGTTGTCAGGGACTGAGAAAGACAATTTTCTCATTTCAAAGATGTTTAGCGTAGTACCTGACTGTCAAAATAACTGCCCACATGAAAGTCTAAAAAACTATTGTAGAGCATATAGCAGATATTACGTTTGATATGATAAAATTAATCTTCTTTCGTTGCATAATGAAATAAAAATGAGGTATCATTAATTTCACTAGTCGATGATTTGAGTAAGGAAAATTATGTTTGTGGAGGCTTCTGATGCATTTGTTATATAGTAAAATACCTACCCGGTTTTTTATTTCAGATACAACAGCAAAGGATACTGTGTAAATTGGAAAAGATCAGAAAAAACATCTGGTATGTGTGTTAGAAACATATCATGTATCTATATGCACATACTTGCAGTCAACATTTTACACACAAACTACAGGACAACCCAAGTGGGCAATGACAGGACACTGCAGTATCACCATATGAAGAAAGAATCGAACTTGAAGATTAAGCGAAACAAGGAAAACATTAACTTCAAATATCATTCACATAAATATGTAACAAATGCATTTGCATAATTTATAAAACACAAACCATGAAATCATAGTGTTGTAGTCATCATATATTAGAGTAATCAATGGTATCTGAAAGGCAGCCTTACACATGAAAGAGAAGGATCAGGAGAATGTGTATAATATAAAAGCGGGGAGCCCAGACGAGGTTTAAACCTTTTCTTCCCAGTATCCAATTGCCAGACAACAAGGACTCCTTCTTTTCCACCTGAAAAGAAAATGATTGAACAAATAAAAACAAGGACTTATGCCAATTCAAAATATATGAGCACAAACATACTTGAACAGCAGAAGCAATGATTACCTCTAACAATGAAAAGAGTGTTTCAAGAATTAATCAAAGATCAAAGGAAGGAAAGGTCTCAATTCCAGGCAGTCATAGCTATTTAGGAATGCCACCTCCTAGGCATGTAGGTAGGATCTTGTTTACTAATATGTTTTTTGTATACTAGATATTTAATAAAAAGTTAACCCTACATTATCAATATATGTAACCAGATATATTCAGTTCCAAATCAAGACATTACAAATACCATGGCTTCATAAATAAACACGTCTAATGAACAAAAAAAAGGGAGGGAAACCCAACAGTTTAAGCATATAACATGATGTAAAAATAACCTGCACTACGTGATCAGCCAAATTTTGGCATTTCATTCTTTTTAAATTTACCAAATTGCTTAATCATTCTCTTATTCATTCGCACTACTGACTGTGTGCAATCAGGTCTGCTAACAATCAAGAGTCTTTGGCTCTGTAAGCTCAGGTGGCTGTCATACAGAAGCTCTACCCAGCTTTGCAGATACAGAGGCAAACCACAAGAGATAAGACAGATATGAATAAGAGAAAAAAAAATAAAAAGATCAATAGCAACAGTCTTCCTTTGTTTCTCTCTCCTGTTTCGCTATTTTCATGTCTCATTACGCATTCGAAGATGAGAGATTAAAGGTTTTAGTTCCCCAACTATAGAAATACTTGTACTGTATACTTTAACCAATATAACATTCCCTTTACATGCAATTTGATATATATGCACTCTGTAAGATTTTAAAAAAAATCATATCATTTAATTTTAACCATAATTCTAAAAGGATTTACAATAAGTAGAACAAAAATAGACTACATGAAAAGCATTTTTAGTAAAACTAAAAAGAGAAAAGAGCCTATAGCACATATTGATGATCAAGAAATATATAAAAGTAATCACATTCATTATTTAGGATTAGGACCAATCATTCTTGGTGATGGTGAGGTTGAGGTTGAGGTTGCTCATCAAACCAAATCACGATGATCAAATGAAGGAGTGCGTCTAGAGTCTTATGTGATTGTCGAATGCCTATGAGACTAAAAGAAAAATTCTATAGGACGGTTATAAGATCAGCAATATTTTATGGATCAGAATGTTAGGCAATTAAAAAAACATATGCAAAAAATAAGTATGGCAGATATGAGAATGTTACGACGGTCTTGTGAGTATACACTAAAAGATAAGATAAGAAATGAGTGCATTTATAGGAAATTAGAGATCACTCCTATTGAGGATAAAATGAGAGAGAATCGACTAAGGTGATTTGGCTATGTATAACGGAGACCTCTTAATGCGCTACTTAGGAAAAGATAATATTTTAGATAATGGGCCAAAGAGATCTAGAGGTAGACCTAAAAGAACTTGGTTGAAAATAATTAAGAATGATATGATAATAGTTAATTTCATGGAGGAGATGACCCATAATAGAAAGGAATAGAAGAATAGGATTCACATATCCAACCACAAATATTTAGGATAAAAACTTTGTTGTTGTTGTTGTTGTTTTGTTGTTGTTTTGTTGTTGTTGTTGTTACCCATATGATGTCAAAATATGACTTAAGCTGTAAGGGATATACCTAACAGGACTCCTGCAGTTAGACTCTAGAAGCCTTGAAATGCCTAGGCATTACATGAACACTGACAACAAACTCTGATAGAAATGTATACAGGTCATAGTAATTCAAGATAGCATGTGACTGTTCCCATAAAACTTAAGCAATGAAATCATTCACTAAAGGAAGCAAAAGAAGTAACTTATTCTGACACTTACACTGCAATAAAGACTGCACTATGTCATTACCATATGAACATGACAACATGTAGAGGATTCAGTACCTGAATATAAATAAGCTCCATCTGAGGAAAAGAAGAGAATATGTACTGCTTCTGGATGCCAATGCCAGGTCGAACAGGAGTCTGCGTCATCATTGCCTCTTACCCCAGGATTCCCTTCCTCATTGTTGGTTCTACCTGCGCTCAATTTTCTTGAAGTTTCTGACAAGTTTCGCTTTCCAAAGCCTCTCCATATCAAAATTCTCCCAGTTACATCTCCACCGGCAATTATTCTTTCACTAGGATGAAACGCCAGAGTGTTAAACTTTTTGGTGTGATGCAATTTGATCCTCCTAATGTCGTCATATTTGAACTCCTTTGTCGGAATTCTCCATGTATATATTTTTTGCTTGTTCTTAATGCCGATGAATTCTCCAGAACTGCTCATGGATATTAACTCTGGTCTGCGGGTCTACAGGCACAAGACTGAGTTCAGTTAAAGATAAATAATTGCTTTATCAATAAAAGAAATGCTCTTGATGAATTTAACTTGCGCTAAAAAAAGCTGAGGAGGTTAATGATAGAGTGATGACTATAGCTCTAATTAACAAATACTATCAAAACTTGAAAAAGATGTTTATCGTTCTATATTTCTATTGGAAACATAGTTTCAATACCCATAACTACGAAATGTGATGTCGTGAGAACTAACTGGTATACTACAAGGATGTGAACAACATGACTAAGAAATGACTACAAGAAAAAAAAATTAATAGCTGTCAGTTTTAAGGCAATGAGTGGTCACACCTCAGCCAACAATCCCCCAACACGACGTGAATTGGTTAAGTTGTAAATCTGGATCTGCCCACGCAATGCCTTGCGCTGATCAGCAGGTTTGTTTATATCCTCAACAGAAACAAATGCATAGAGGTTGGAAAGCTTCTCACTGCTATCAGCTGAAAGACTTGAGATATGAGGAATAACCTGCAAGACATAAACAGCATTTAACAGAATAAGATGAAAAGAATGTTATCTGAAGGAACAAATGTAAAGATGAACAAAGCTCAATGTTACTAGGGAAACTTGTGAAGGACGGCAAAAGCTATACTCAATACGGATATGCGAATGACAAAGACAACTTATAGTTTACATTCTTTAATCAAGCAAATAAACGCGAAAAATGATTGTGAGCATCTTTTTGAAGTTTAACAGAAGAACTGTTTAAACGACCAAAGTTATCGTCTTTTGTTAAGTAGACACAAGAAAAATCAAGTATATCCCTGTGTGCCAGCAAATTAAAAAAGCCACATATACCCCACCATAGAAATGCATTCCTTTATTTTACACAAACTACGACATCTTAAATGCAAAAATTCTTTTTACTCGAACTGTCCACAAATTTCAAATTTAATAATCCCCTTGTTTTGAATCAAATGAGATACATTTGGGATTCCGCTTACCATAGATACTATAGGAAGCTGAACTTTGATCTTCTTCACCAATTCAGGCGCCGCAAAATCCCAATAACAAATGGTAGAATCCCTCGACGAAGTCCAGCAATAACACATAAATTTCCTCGCATTCGCGGCAACCGGAACAACAACAACTGAAGTAACCAAATCAGTGTGGCCCTCTAATTCCGTTACCTAAGCAAATCAAGATTAAATTTTGATCGAAACCCATCAAAGAAACCCACAAACTGTTACAAAATTACTTCGAAAGCTAGGGTTTTACCAGCATCCCGGTGTCGGTGCTGAAGATTGAGACGGTGTTTCCAGTGCAAACGAGCAGCTTTTTCGCGTCATTGGAGAAAACTGGAGCTGATGACACGAAGTTGTTTCCTCCTGTGATCATGATTTTGATGATTGAATCGGGATTTGATTTTTCTCTCTTTTTCCTCCCTCTTTTTTGGGTTCAATTTTGTGTTTGTTTGAGCAGTCGAGCGAGTTTTAACGGTGGGAGGCCAGTAGCGATGAGAATTAGGGTTTTACAGGGGCCCTGCAGCTCTGCTGTATCTCCGGAACAGGGTAGACTTATATGCTGGGTTTTTTTCATATATCCCCTCTACATATTTTGAAAATTTCATCAGGCTCCCCGGACCTGATAAATAGTGCTCCCGCCACCTACGATTTTTAACGAATAATACTTCCTTCGTCTCGACCTCTTGTTTCCCAAAATAACATCTAGCGCTTGGTCTCTCTTCTTCTCATGAATTCGTAATTCTCAAAAACTCCTTTCTCATTTCTCTCCTTCTTACTCGACCTTGATGGAATGAGCACTTACAAATAAGGACTTGAACAAAGATTTTCGGACAAAATGGACTTCAACTTAAATTTTCTTTGATAAAAGTATTACAAGTAGTGCACTTCTTTCCTACACCTTTCTTGCACCTACACGTCACTTCCTCACTCTTCTCTCTCTAAAAGTTTTCTTCTCACAGCCACTCTAACTCCCACTAGGCTTCAGCATATCTCTCTAGCTCTACAAAGCAATCACTTCACTTCTTTCTCACACTCTCTCTTTAACTCTACATAGCCTACTCTTCAACCTACACTTTAGCCTTTTCTTAGCTTCACTCTTCCCTTCTCTTGTTTTCACTCCCTTGACCCAAACCGAATGGCAGCAACCCCTTTTAGAGCAACTCCAACCATTGGCTCTATTTTGGAGTCCCCACTAAAGCATATTCTAAGGAATATGTCAAAATAGAGCTTTACAACTCCAACCACACTCCTCCATTTCCAACTCCATTTCAATTTCTCTCCATTTAACAATTCTTTTACTTAATTTAAAAATATATAAAAATTATAAACTAATAATTAAATAGGCATAAGTGGATATCTAAAAGTAGTTAGTTAGTTTGAAGGGTAAATTAGGGAATTTTTTGGGTGAATATTGGTATATATTTACATATTTTATATTTCAATATTAGTCTCATTTTGAAGGTATCGACGAGACATTTCCAATGATATTATTTTCATTAAAAATATTTAATATATTAATATATATATACACATATTTTAAATAAGTAAAAATAATAATAATGGGACACAAGTGGAATAATGAAATGTTGTTAAGGAGATTGAGGGTTAATATTGACATTTTTTAGGGGGAATAGTGAAATAGAGGGGGCTGCATATTTGGAGAAAAAACTCCAAATATGCAGCTGGTGGGTTGGGTTTGCAGCCGAGCTCCAAATTTTGGAGCTCGGTTGGACTTCAACCGGGCTGCATTTTGGAGAAATGCAGCCCGGTTGGAGCTGCTCTTATAGGGTTCAATGTTGGTTTGTTTTTTTCTCTAGAAATTTCCAAAAACCTCCATGGCAGCTTCTAATGACAATTTCCAAAGGTTGCTAGATGGATAGAGAAGCTTCTAGGTTTCTTGAAGTCAGTGCCGCGTGACTTCTAACACTCCCCATCAACAGTGACTTTATTGTTTACCAGTCCGAGTTGCTTCTTAAGTTTAAAAAATGTTTCTGCCTTCAATGGCTTGGTGAAGATGTCAGCAATTTGATCTTCGGTCCAGCAATATGTCAGCATCACAGTCTTCTTTTTAACTTGATGTCGGATGGAATGATATCTTATCTCTATGTGTTTGCTTCGTCCATGTGCTATCGGATTTTTGGCAAGTGCAATAGCTGACTTGTTGTCGATGAGAATCTCCGTCGGTGTTTCTTGTTCATGTTGCAGCTCCTCCATTAGATTTCTAAGCCATATCATTTGACATGCACCTGTAGATGCAGGAATGTATTCTGCTTCGCAACTTGATAGAGCAACAACGGACTGCTTCTTTGATGACCAAGAAAAGGCTGCTGATCCAATGCTGAATATGTAGCCGAATGTACTCTTTCTTTCATCCAAGTCTCCCTCATGGTCATTGTCGGTGTAACCGGCTAGTCTTGGATCTACACTTTGTTAGTAAAATAATCCTTCATTAATGCTTCCTTGAACATACCTGAGAATCCTCTTGGCCACCTTAAAGTGTTCTTGCCTTGTCTCCTCCATGAATCTGCTCACCAGTCCAACCGCAAACATTATGTCGGGTCTTGTGATGGTCAGGTATCATAGGCTTCCGACTAAGCTCTTATACAAAGTTGGATCAATAGAGATTCGTGGTGAGTCTCTCCTCAGCTTCACTCTGACTTCGATAGAAGTTACAAATGGTTTGTAGTTGTTCATGTTGAACTTCCGAAGGATCTCATTTGCGTACTTTTTCTGAGAGATGAAGATTCCTCTCTCGGATTGCGATACTTCTACTCTAAGAAAGTATGACATTTTTCCAATGTCAGTCATCTCGAACTCCCTGATCATGTTCTTCTTGAACTCTTCGAACATTTTTAGATTTTTGCCGGTGAAGATCATGTCGTCCACGTAGAGACATACGATCATGATGTCTCCATCCTTCTTCTTAGTATAGAGAGAGTGCTCATACGGGCTCTGCTGGAATCCATTTTTCTGGAAGTATGCATTGATTCTGGCATTCCACGCCCTAGGTGCTTGCTTCAATCCGTATAATGCCTTCTTCAGCTTATAGACTTTATCTTCTTGGTTCTTCACCTCGTACCCCGGTGGCTGCCTGATGTAGACTTCTTCTTCTTCTTCTAGGTAGCCATTCAGGAATGCAAACTTCACGTCTATCTGGTAGATCTTCCACCGGTTCTATGCTGCCAATGCGATAATGAGTCGAATGGTGTTGATCCTCGCGACTGGTGCGAACACTTCTTCATAGTCAACTCCTTCTCACTGACTATAGCCCTTTACAACAAGTATGGCCTTGTATTTCTCGATTCCACCGTCTTTATTTGTCTTTGAATTGTACACCCACTTTACTCCAATTGGTTTATGGCCTTCCGGTAAGGTAGTGAGCTCCCATGTGTTATTTTTCTTGATTGCCTCGAGTCATCCATGGCTTTTCTCCACTTGTCCTCTTGAGCAGCTTCTTCATAGTTGACCGGATTACATTCTGCAAACAAGCAGAATAGTGTATAGTCCTCCATCATCTCGACAGTTTCTGTATTATCGTACAGATCTCTTAGGATTCCCATCCTCCTTGTTGCTCCCCCTGAATAATTTCCTTCACTTAAGTTGGATGGTGATGATGTCGTCGTCGATGTTAGGGTTGATGGAGCTGGACTATTAGGTGGACTTTGTTTTGATCTTCCAAGCTCCTGCAAGTCATTATCATTATCTTCAAAGAACATACCTTTAATATTTTTGTCTTCATCGGTCCATTTCCAATAATCCTCTTCATCGAACTCCATGTCTCTTGAAATGATCATCTTCTTTGTAATTGGATTGTAGAGTTTGTATGCTTTTGTCCTCCTCTCGTACCCAACGAATATACACTTTTCTCCACGATCGTCTAGCTTCTTTCTTTTCTGCTCTGGGATGTGTGCATATGCAATGCACCCAAACACCTTCAGGTGGTTTACGCTTGGCTTGATGTTGCTCCACATCTCTAATGGTGTCTTGAACTTTACGCTCTTTGCCGGGCATCGGTTGAGGAGGTAAACTGCACAGTTCACGGCTTTAGCCCAGTATGTCTTCAGCAGGTACTTGCTCTTCAACATGCTTCTGACCATATCAAGAATAGTACGATTCTTCCGCTCTGTTATGTCATTCTGTTGTGGTGTGTAGGCGGCGTGAGTTGATGAATTATCCCGTACTGTTTGTTGAAATTGTTGAATGCCTTCGAAATGTATTATCCGTTGTGATCTGATCGGAGCACCTTGATGTGGTACCCACTTTACTTTTCTACCATCTCCTTGAATTCTTTGAATTTCTCTAGAGCTTCGGATTTCTCCTTCAAGAATTAAACTCAAGTTTTTCTGCTATAATCATTAATAAATGTGAGAAAGTATAGGTTTCCTCCAAGAGAGACGACTTCAAATGGTCCTGCAATATCTGTAGACCAATTGTAGCAGCTCTGTTGCTCTTCTAGACTTTCCAACTTCGAAACTTCTTCTATGTTGCTTGCCCTTCATACAGCCTTCACATAGCTGATTCGGATGGTTGTTTTACGGTAATCCTTTCACCATTTTCTCCTTCCACAGAAGATTCAGGCCATTGAATGCAAGATGCCCAAATCTCAAATGCCAGAGCCAAGACTCATTCTTCATAATCATCTTTAAGCACTTGACAAGATCAGTATGAATATTTAAGGTAAACAGCCTATTTCGAGACATATCACCTTTGCAATTACTTAATTTTTAATAGTGAGGGCAAGGTCTTTTAGATGTATATCATAGCCTCTTTCAAAGAGCTGGCCTAGACTCAAAATATTATTTCGTAGTGCTAGAACATAATAGACCTCAGAGGTGTACCTATTCTCGCCCGTCTTTGTTTGGATCATTATCTTGCCCTTTCCCTTTACTGGAATCTTTGACTGGTCTCCAAAAGTAACATCTCCTTGCACCATCTCATTTAGCTCAGTAAAGAACTCCTTGATGTCGTACATGTGGTTACTGGCACCTGAATCCAGATAATAGATATCTTGACTCTTGCTTTCATTCTCCTGGTACATCAGCAGGACTGTTGAAGTGTCTGGCTACTCCCTTTCTACAAAGTTACTTTTTTCTGCCACTTGATTTGGTTTCTCCCAGCATTCGTAGCTGAGATGGCCGTATCTCTTGCATTTGTAACACTGTGGTTGAGAGCTATCATCCTGGTAACTTCTTACTTATCCTCATCCTCATGCACCACGACCTCGTCCTCGATCGAACAATCGTTCACGATCTCCATTTCGATCTTGATTTTCATGGCCTCCTTGGTACTATCTCCTATGACCTTGCTGGAAGTTTGAACCACCTCGAAAAAAAACCTCTACCTCTGTAGCCTCCACGTCCTCTTCGACTATCTTCTTTGATAGTCATCTTACTCTACAAGGCTTTCTCTAGGTTCTCCACTTTATTTGAACTGATGTTTATATCTTGTTCGTAAGCTTGCAGAGAACCTTGCAGCTCATCAATAGAAACTTCGGAAAGATCTTTAGACTCTTGTATTGCCGAAA